GTCGGTCGTCAGGACCACAGCTGCAACTACTGCCTGGCCCCTGCATACTGCCTGCATCCCTGCAGCTGTGGGAGATGAATTATAGATGACTAACAGTTAGGTTCTATACATGGAAAATTAGAATAAATTTATAAATTTTCCATTTGTAGAATCTAATTATTGGTGGGGGGGTGATCTTAAATGCATTTTTAAATTCAGGATTGTATTCGATTCAAGTAAATATGGTAGTTTGGAAGTTGTCAGTATAATAAATTCACTATTATTTATTCGTTTCATAGTTTCATAGATGTTAGGGTTGGGAGGGACCAATTAGATTATCGAGTTTGACCCCCTGCCCTGGGCAGGAAAGAGTGCTGGGGTCAGATGACCCCAGCCAGGTGTCTGTCCAATCTCTTTTTAAATACCTCCAAGGAAGGGGACAGCACCACCTCCCTTGGAAGTGTATTCTGTATTTTGGCAACCCTCACTGTAAAGAATATTTTCCTGATGTCCAATCTGAATTTGCTGTCTTCCAGTTTGCGGCTATTATTTCTAGTTACCTCAACAGGTGCCCTGGTAAACATTGTATCCCCTATTTCTTGCTGCCTCCCACCCCTGATGAGTTTGTAGGTGGCCATGAGATCACCTCTCAGCCTCTACTTGCAGAGGCTGAAGAGTAGAGGTTTCCCAATTAGTCCAAATAGGCTTTTTTCTGTAGGCCTTTAACCAGACGAGTGGCCTTCCTCTGAACCCTTTCCAGGCCATCCACATCCCTCTTGAAGTGCGGTGCCCAAAACTGGATGCAGGACTCCAGCTCCAGCCTGACCAATGTTGCATAGAGGGGGAGTATCACTTCCCTAGACCTGTTTGCAAGACTTATGCAAGAAAGGGTGCGGTTAGTTTTACTTATTACATCATCACGTTGGTGACCCATGTTCATTTTGGAGTTGACTATGACTCCAAGATCCCTTTCCGCAGTTGTGTTACTTAGAATAGTACCTACCAGGCTATAGGAATGTTGATGGTTCTTCCTCCCCAGGTGCAACACATGACACTTATCCTTGTTAAACTGCATCCTGTTGTGTTTGGCCTGTTTCTCCAGCCTATCCAAATCAGCCTGGATTTGCTCCCTGCTGTCCAGTTTGTGTACCTCCCTCCTAGTTTGGTGTCATCAGCAAACTTGGACAGGGTGCTTTTACTCCCTCGTCCAAGTCACTAATGAAGATATTGAATAGTACCAGTCCCAGGACAGAGCCTGGGGGGACTCCATTGCCTACACTTCTCCAGGTATAAACCTATTCGTCCACCACCACTCTGTGGGTGCATCCCATAAGTCAATTTTCTTCCCACCAGACTGTGTAATAATCTACACTGCAACTGTTTAGTTTATT